TTTGCATTAAGTTAAGTCTGACTGGAGTATTTTGAATTCTTTCATTACTATGAGTACTATGCCTAAGTGATCTCACTATTAACGGTACCTACTTGATAGTAATGACTTTTGGTTAGATATTGATGATTCCTACAAGGATGACATTTTCAAATGTGAAGTTGTGGTGTGGAATACTTAGACTAAGTGGGTTGCTGGCTTTCCAATGTCGGTCAATTTCCCCCTGTAATTACTAAGATTATTGGTATAATTCAAAGTGTTAACTTATGTTGTCATGTGAACATTCAGCATGTTCATGTTTTCACGAACTATGCTGATGTGATTAATTTACTTGCTAAGAATGATGTCAGTTGCTACCCATTTAGAGGCATCATTGATTAAGCCAAAGTTTGTTTAAATCATTCTAGTTTTCTTTCCTTGAATTTTACGTACTATGAGGCAAACTTTTGTACCCATTTACTTGTGCAAGATGCTTTAAATTTTGTTGGTAGTTAGTGTACCTTTTGATTAATCATCACCATTTTGTCTAGAGGCAGTGGATGATAAAAAGATTAGATCTTATTATGTAAGTTTCTGTAGCTTACATCCATTTTTTATTGGATTAATAGATCTTCATATTATTCAAAAAAAAAAAAGCATAGCAACCAATATTATATTTTCTTCATTTGTCTCAAACTATCCCAATTATGATATCAGTGTAGTTTATAATGTAGATTATTAAAACCATAGGAACTTCATTTAAAATCAAGGTGGGGTTTGTTCATGAGATGCATTTGATTAGAAAAATAGTGGCAGACACAATTTTGAGGAGCTGGCGAGGATTAGGCGGGCGCGTGCATACGTGATGGTGACATCATATTATGAGAACATAGAACATGTCATAAAAAATGAAATAATAAAAGTTGCGTGGAAGATGAAATTGGCCCCATATTATAAAATCACTTAACTTTATTCTGTCTCCATGTAACAAATATCCAAACAGCTGAAATAAAGCAAAAAGTGCGCTTTCTATGGCCAGTACATTTCCATGATTTAAAATGTCACATCCATCCAGTGGTGATAAATTATTAATGATTAATGATCAATAAATAGTTAGACAAGATACAATAAAAAAAAAATTGTATAAGCATTTAAAATTGAGTGTTTTGGTTTGCGAGAAAGAAGAAACTCATGCCATCCACCATTTTTTATCCTATGCATAGAAGAAATAAGCTTTAGTATTTTATTAGGACCTCATCCAAAACAAGTTGATTCATAGCCCAAGTTTTAGTACTGAGAGTAAATTGGTTAATGGTTAATTAATATTTTATATAACTTTTATTTTTGTCATAATTGTACAATGACAAACATGATAATATAACATGTTATTGAGCAATTTAACTCTTAAATTCTAGAATCTTAATTTTTTTTTGTGTAATATTCTCTCAACTTTTAAAAAAGATACAATGTAGCCTCTATCATTAATAAAAATTAACTTTGATCATTAGTTGATAAAAAATAATAAAAAAAACTAAAAAATTAATAAATGACAAAAAATTACAAAAATAACCTAAAAATTACAAACAAGGATCCAAAAAGTTATAGAAAAGAACCAAAAAATTATCAATCATTTTATGTAATTTTTGATGTCCTTTTTGGTCACTTTATAGTCAATTTGCACTCAAAGTTGCTTTTTACTGACAATAGGTGTTACATTGTATTATTTTTAAAAGTTAAGGAAAATTAGGGGTGTTCATCCGGCTTGATTGCTAGGGGTGCTCGCACGAGCTTAATGAAATTTTGGCAGCCCGGTCGTAAAAAAGTAGCCCAACATAATTTGGGTAGGGTTGATAGTTGGCTAGGGTTGGGTTACGTGTAGAGTTGATAATTCTAACCAAGTTTAACGAGCCAGCCTAAACTTGACTGAAAAAAATTAGAGTCGAGCTTGATTATATAGGCTTTTTTAAGAGAGTATAATATTTTAAGCTTGAGTCTAATAAGTCCGGCTAGAATAAGCCCAATTGTTGAAATACTTTATATATATATATATATATATATATAGAATTGGTAATTTTAGCCAAGCTTGATGAGTCAGCTCAAACTTGGCAAAAAAAAAAAATTAGGACTGTGCTTAGCTATATAGGCTTTTTAAGAAGATAAGATACTTTAAGCTATCATGAATTGAGCTTGACTCAAATGAGTTCAACCCGCTCAAATTACTGGCTCTAGCTACAAGCAGGGTATGCTGCTTTGCCCATTTGACCTTGCTCGAGATATATGTTTTTTTAATTTTTTAAGGGTCTGAAGGAAGGATTAAGGAGGGAGATTTTAGTCATTTTATTTGTGCTTGATGTTTCTAATAAGGACATAAAGTTTATTAATTATTTATACTTGAGGTAACGTTAATTTTTTAATCTTGTTTTAGCATGGACAAAATTTTGTGCGATAACCTATTTGTTTACATTGCTGTAATTAACTTTTGATTTTCTTATTCAATCACTATATTTGATTTGTTCAGTCACACTAATCAATATTACTTATATATTTTATTATTTATTTTTCTTAATTATATAAACAATTTGTGATTTTATAATTTTGTTATCTAATTGTTAGTATGGAGGATCAAGCTTCCATTGTTATGCCTTTATGGATGTTATTTTAAGTTGATGAGTATAGCTGTTATTATTGATTTACCATGCTTCTTAGAATGATAGGCAGGCCTTTTTTATTGGGTATGACAGCTTTGATAGGGCTTTTTGCTAGTAGGGTTGGGCAGCAAGCTGTATTTTGCAGCTTGTGCATCTTTTAGGCTGGGCATCGGCCAGGGGCTTGCCCATCTCAACCCAATCCTACTCATATGCACCCTTAAGGGTAACATTGCACAACAAATGAGTTTAGAAACCCAAGTATTTTTTGACCTATAATTTTATTTTTTTCAAATATAATTCTATGGTTATTTAGAGGGTAAATGTTCACACTTAATTTTTTTAGCTTTATATAAGGTTTTTGTTTAGTCCTTTAATTTAAAAAAATTATTTTTTTAATGTTAACATGGTTAGTTTCAAACGATGATTTTTTATATCACTCGGTATTATTTTAAAAAATTAAAATTAATATACTAAAATTTTAAATTTTTTTTTATCATAGTTGAAGTTCAATATCATCATTTTTGTTAATAAAACAAATGATATTAATGTTAGATGACTAAAAAAAACATTTTATAAAATTCAATGATAAAAATAAAATTTTATAAAAAATTAGAGAACTATAAATATATTTTCACCCTAGAATATAGAAAATGAGATATTAAGTAATATTATTTTACCATTTTAATCTCTTCCCCATTCTTTTTTCCCCCTTCATTTTAACATAGCTTTTACAATATAATTTTTTTTTTCATTACATACTGATGTATATTCATTGAAAACAATCATGTTCAAAGCAAAGATAAAAGCAAAATTTAACAATAAGGGGGATTGATATTACAAAATATGTATGTTACAAAAATTTAATAAATTTGGATTGCCAAATCAAACATATATATATATATATATATATATATAATATTAAGAAAATTTTAAAAACTTGAGGAGTGAGTCTTTACTCATTGATTCCCCTTCCTCTGCCCTTGGTTCAAATTGAAGTATAGTTGGATACTTATTTAAGTGAAAATTCAAACATTAATTTGTTATACTATGAAGGATTAACTTCTTTGATGAGACTCAACCTTATAAGTATTTATTTATTTTTCTTTTTCATGGAATATTGAACTTGTACATGTGGAGAAAGAAATGAAAATGAGCATAATGGCCTCCCCATTTCACAATAGTCCCTCGTTTTCTCTCTCACCTTTTAGATGCAGAGTGCCAATTATATGTCAAAAAGAGCAGGGCATGACACTTTTTAGCCTTTTAGATAATGTATTTTTCGCAAGTCAGAACTTAAAAAATAGGAAATTTTGATATAAAAAGATTATATGACCCTATTCTTATAAGACATTAAACAACGAGCTTGAGTTTTGGCTAGTTCTTATGCTTTTTTATTTTTTATATAATTTACTAAAATTTTTGAATTAATAGATGAAAATAATGTAATTTATTAAATACTTACTTTAGGTAATAAAAATATAGTTAGTGAGGTTATTAAAATAGCACAACCTCCTTCACATAGGTTTTCTTATGAAAGGTCTAATATTTTATTTTTGAATAAAATTTGATGATAATAAGAACTAAAAAATATTTAAATTTTAAATATTTGATTAAGATATTTTGTAATTTATATGTATTAATATAATAAAAATTTTTAATCTTGAAAAAAAATTCCACATGCTTTTGGGCCCAACTTTAAACTTTATCAATAAGATCTGCAGTTTTAAAAAAAGTGCTAATTTTTTTGTGCAAAAAAATGATAATAATTTTTTTAAAATGTATAAATGATAATTTAATTTCTTAAAATGTTATAATTTTTTTTGAAGTCCTTAAAAATTTTTTTTATTGATAAATTTATATAAATTATCAAATTATCCTTATTAAAAATAAATAATTCACAAATTTTATTTAAAGATTAATAAATTTTCTTCTCATATTTATAAAAAATAATAGCAAATAAGAAATTAATATGTAATAATATGTGAAGTTGTAATTACTGTTGTATTATTATGAATATAAGAAGAAAAATTATAAATATTTAAATAAAATTTATGAATCATTTATTTTTAACAAAAATAATTTAATAATTTATATAAATTTATTAATAATAAAAAATTTTTTAAAAATTTTAAAAAAAATTATAAATATTTTAAAGAATTAAACTTTTATTTATATATTTTTTAAAAAATTTATTATCATTTTCACATACGGATTTAAACTTGTAAAGTTAGGGCTATAAAAGCGGAGTCAACCCTTATTGACAGCTGTGATCTCGGTAAAGAATCATTTCTTTTTTGTTAACAAAATTAGAAATGTATGTACGCATATACATATATACACAGCAGTACATGCACCCACTCGCTTGATATTTTGATACTAACACTGAGAGAAGGATGATGAAACGAGCTGCAAAGTCTAAACCGATGACTGGGAAGTTCGTCCGAACCGAACCGATCTAATGGAACTTGACAGCGCTAATTAATGGTTGATGTCCTCGTAAGTTGTGTTCGCAGAGACCCGTGCTCTCAAGGTACAATGGTGGATTGGTGGTCCAGGTAAGGTAGGAACTTCTCAAAAAATGTTGGCACCTGCGTTGTTCTGTTTTCCAAGCTTTCGCTTTCACGTGCTAATTCCTTTTGTTTTCTTCCTCTCAATCATAATTGCCAATACACACCATCCCCACCATCGTCACTATCATCACTCTCTGGTTCCTTCTTTTGTCAGTGAGCACTTCTGCTGCTCTGGTTTCAATCTCTCTCTCTCTCTCTCTCACATTGCGGAGAACGAAGGAAGAAGAAGGCGTTATGATTTCTGCTCAGTTGCACAGTGCACAGCCATGGACGCTTCCTCCTCCTCCTTCTCGGGTTCGAAGACCCTGTCAATTCTCATCTGTTCATGGCAAGAGGTACTTTCTCAAAGTTTAAACTTCAATCCGCTTAGCACTGCTCTTGGCCAATATGACCCCCCCCCCCAATTTTATTTATCTTATGAGCATACCTCTGGGATTAAGAGATTCGGTAGTGCATAGTTGACTACTTTGATCAACATTGTTAATAGCCTCAAGCTTCTGGGCCTGATTTGAGGGTGGAATACCTTATGACTTAAGCTCACAGCGTCAAACACCTCTTTATAGGGAAATTCACACTAGTTTCAACTTTTAATCGGAAAGGAAACCCATCTCTACTAAATCACATTTGAGTGTGTTTGAAACCACATTGGGGGGGGGGGTGTTCTAAAACGTGGTTTTGACAGCAGCAACAATACCTGGTTTTGGACACTCAGTCGGAAGTATATTTTTGTAGCTGTAATGAAAAGGAGGGTACTATTGCCATTTACATATTGACAGATGCATAGTCTTCGTCTAAAATATAGAATCCATTTATTCATATAAGCCATGACTTAGCTAAATTATAAGGTGAGTTGACCAAAATCTAAATTAGATCGCATTGCAATATGTAAATAGCAGTGGTATCAACTACTCTACACTAAAGGACTAATGCAAATGAACTCCCATAAAGAGGTGTGTTGAAGGTGATGGCATAAACCAATGATGTAAATTTGGTGCAGATCATTTGTTTATTTGCGGTAATTTAAGTTGCTATGATTGTCTCAGGTTCTCTTTATGGATATTCATTACTTCATGGTGGAAGAACTAAAACCTTAAGCCCACAAGTTCGCTAAATGATAGGGTTATCTTTAATTTATTACTCATACGTTGGATGAATAGGCTGGTTGTTATTTAAGTGGGGTTGGACAGGATATTACAACTTTTATGGATTAGAAGACATTTTATGTATTTTTGGGTGCTGTAGGAGATTGACTTTAATGCGATCTGTACAGGAGATTTATGCCCCACAGACATGGCTTGTTCAAATCTTCAGCATTACACGCGCATTGTCTTAAAGAAAACAGTGAAGGTGAGCTCCACGTGCCAAAGGAATAGAAGCTTATTGAGCTTGAAGATCTTGAACTTAATCAACTATTAAGTCTCTCCATGATTATCTATTCTTGCTCAGTCATCCATGATTAAAAGTTCAAAACGGAGTTAAAACATAGTCTCTTGTGATTAGTCCTCCATATGGACGCAAGACATAGTCTCTTGGCCACTCTGTTCTTCATGGAGCATTTTTTTTTTTCGGGTCCCTGAACCTCTCAAAGCATTTCTTCCATACAGATTGTAGAGCAAAATAGACTTATTTATAATTTTGGATTTCTTTGAGAAAATTGATGTAAATGATATTCGTGCATCATTAATTAGCAAGCAATAGAAGATTTGAAAATTGTTACCTATTTATTCTCAGGTTTAAGATCCCCATAAGGGAATTCAAGAAAAATATCAGAAAGGCCCATGTATCACTTGTCTTGTATACAAGCTTCTCATGCTTCCCCCATCATGTTGTTAAAAAATGCCATCTGTTTTAAAAAGTTCACTGGTTGTTCTGTTGCTAGTTGCTGTTTTTTTTATAGTATTATGTATTGGCAATAAAAATGCAATGTTCTTGTTGCTATGATAATGTAAAATAAGTGGCACCCCTCCACTCAGTTTTTAAAAATCATTGGTGCACTTATATTTACATGGATACGGATATTTTATAATTGTTTATATTTGTTGCATTTTTCAAAATCTTTCTGTTTTCGTGTAAAAGGTTCTTTCTAGTTTTTGTAGCTCACAGTTATTGACAAATGGTCCTGCTGTTTGGAATCTGAAGGTTTTGTTGAAGATTTTTCTTAAATTGTGACTGTTTGCCAGTGTCTGATAAGCCACATGGCTTGAAATCACCTTGTTCGCACATCAGGCTGCTAATACATGAATTTAGCTTACTAAGCAGCTTGATTGAATTTTGATGCTGATGCATGCTTCTTACTGCCAAAATTATTAAACCATATTCCCAAAATATCAATTATTTTAAGGGTAAATGAGCAAATTGGCCCCTAAGCTATAGGTTCAGAAGCATTTGGGACTTTAAACAAATTTTTTGTACAATTTTCCTATTTAATTTTGAAAACGGTGCAATATGACCTCTGCTGTTAACAAAAGTTAATTTTGATCATTAGTTAACCAAAAAATGACATAAAAGGACCTAAAAAATTAAATGAAAGGACCAAAAGTTTTTTTTTGGTCATTTTTTATGATTTTTTGGGTCCTTGTTTGTAATTTTTGAGTCCTTTACTGTAATTTTTGGCTTTTTTTTGGTAGTTTTGAGGTCCTTTTCTATCATTTTTTAATCAACTATGGCCAAAGTTAATTTTTGTTAACGGTAAGGGTCAAATTGCACTGTTTTCAAAAGTTAAGGGGCGATATTGCATAAAATATGAGTTTAGAGTCCCAAATGTTTTTGGACATATAGTTTAGGAGCCAATTTGCTTATTTACCCTTATTTTAAAAGCTCAAAATTCTAGATCTTTAGATATGTAACAATGGAGTTGTGTATTGCAACATGGTTATAAATTGTCATCTGTTTTCTTTTTGTCAAAGTTGCCTTGGTTTTCTACCCAAAAAAAAAAAAAAATTGCCTTGGTTTCACTTTTGTTATATTGAGCTTCTTAATTTTATTGTCTAATCAACTCTTTTATTCTATTCTACTCCTTATCTTTTGGTGGGAATTGAATTGACTTTTCTGGTCTATCTATTGACCCCATGATATGCTCTTTCCTGTTCACTTTGAAATAAATTGTGTGGAAAGATTTAGATTGGTCCTTGCACCTAATAGTTAAACTGTTTCTTTCTTATTTTTCTGCTAAAGTTTAACAATCTATGATGAATCCTTGTAGGTAGATGGCAGGCTAAATCTTACCAATCAGAAAATAAATCAGATTTGAGCACAAATGTTAGTGTTCCAGAAAGCATGGATGCAACGTGCACTGTTATAGAGAAGATTAATGATAATATCAATCAGGTCAGCAATGAATAGAAGATCATGAAAAATGTATATATTTTTTGTGAGACTGTGCATATAATACAATCCAAACTTGTCCTTCACTTCATGCTAGAATCAAAATTTTGTAGTATCTTTTTCAAATATGCAGTTAAAAAGCTATATGTAATGTCAACTCTTGAATAAAATCATTACGTAACATTTTTTATGCTGAATTTGGCATATTCCTAAAGTGTTAAAAAAAAATTAAGGGCATATAAGCTTGTGATAATCTTAACCAAGTAATTTAAGCTATTTTAGTGAAATGGAAAAATTCATGCACATGTCCATTTTGAATGCTGAGTTGATGATAGTGTTGGGTTTCGCTTCCTTTCATACAAAAAGTTAACATTATCAAATATCTCTTTCAGCTAGCATCAGCATGTGACAAGTTTGACTTTTCTAACAAAATGTTTAGAACTTGTGGTCCTTGGAGCAATGGTATTTCTGATTGTCTACTTTGTTTATTTTATTTTTTTCTTGCAAGAACTTGTTTAATTACTTACCTTAATTCACTTGTCTCCTACAATATATTATATTATTGATCCCTTTGATAAAAGTTGTTCACAGCTCAGTCTGTTACATTCATGAGTTATAGTGTTTGTCATTCATGAGTTATAAGCCAATAGAATTGGCTCATTGGTTATCTTCTGCTTGTGATAGTTAGTGTTTGCTAAATCTCTCAGGCTGCCATATTTGCAGGGTCCATGGACTAAAAGCATGGTACAATCTTTGTCATTGTACTTCATACAAAGAGTAACACATCAAATGTTTCTTCACCAGATGTTGAAAGTTCAAGCAATACTTCCGGACATGCTTCATACTCTTACTGCAACAAGCTTGCCTCTTGCTTGTGTCTCTAATACCTTGAATAAACCCAGCCCTCTCCGATTAAATGTGTCCTTTCCTTCTTTTAATGATATTAGTTGGAGCTTAGCACGATTGATATACTTGTTCAACGTCCAACTTGAGAGAAATGTTGCCACGTAAGCCTATATTCATTTCATCATTTAGACTTGATCACATGTTTATCTATAGTTTTCTTATAAATCTCAAGTTCTTTACTTCTAGTTTTTATTTATCTTATGATATCAGATGATATATTATTAGCTAGCATCAATTTGTTGATACATGTCTATAGGGTAAACAGTATGCTTTATAATCGTCTTGAAAGTGAAGGGCAATATTGTATGCTCTTAGTACTATTTCAAGTTAAAATAGTCCATGACTGTCATGAGGCTGACTTTAAATATCAGTTGCAAATGTTAAATTGATGCATAATAAGCAGCATGTGCTGGCCAAATGAAAACAAGCAGCATGTGAAAAACTAACTTCCATTGTGAAAGAAAGGCAGTGTTTGGGATCTTTGGTCATGCATTTCTGCATTGTTGGTTAAGATGTTTGCATCACTTTATGAGTTTTCTTTGCTTTTAATTCCTTAAGAAAATTGTTCTTTCATATTTTCAAAGGTATCAGATAGCTCAACTATTTTAGGGCAAAATATATTTCATTGGTAGCACTAAAATGTAAGGATTGGATTGGAAGAATGCCTTGGGACTCTGATTTCCAAATCTTTCCCTATTGAGGGTTTGGAGTGATTTGAGTCCCTTTCCTTCTTACTTTTTAACTTTTACACTCTCACTCGTCTTTTCTTCTTTATACTAAAGGATGATATACTTTACTTAAGGGTAATGTTGGAAATTTAACTTTTCAAATCCATACCATCCCATTGCATTGTAACTTATAAAGAATGGAAGTGATTTGCTTCCTTTTTCATTGAACTTCCTAACAATGGAGAGACCTAGTGGTAACTTGAACCCCACCCATTCCATTCCTCTCCAAATTTCCGAACAACCCTTGAAGAACAGGATTTACTTCGATGGATTTATTCAGAAATACTTACAAGGAATAGGCTTAGAAAAAATGTTTATTACAAGGGTTCAGGTGGAAAATATGAAACTTTTTTCCCTTCTTATTTCTGCATTTTTGGGGAGGGTGTGGCTGGGTAACTCTGATCTTATGTTGCCGATTGAACTGAGTTCATCTGAAAAATTTTGATGAATTGTGTGAACTGGACCATACATCTAAGTATCTAAGATGCTTTGTCCCATAACCGGTGCCCTGCAAAGCAGTGCATCTTATATGCTCTGACAAAGCATTTACATTGGTGTTTTTCTTGACCTTTTGGACTCTTTCAGGATCCTTGTGGTGCTCCTTGTGGCATGTTCATCATTTGTTTTTATTGGTGGTCTCCTGTTTTTCAAATTCAGGTAATCATTGATATGCACTGTCTGGAGAGTGTTTATAGTTCATGATCTTTGTATTTTGCAGTATAAGTGGCATAATGTCCACATTTCCCACCCTCTTTATCCTATAGAAAATGCAGTTCACCTTTCTTTTACTCCAATATGCCAGGACATATCTGATCACCCTTACAACCCATGGCAACCTTTTTCATTTCTTTGGGCCAAATTTTAGATTTGAATTGTGGTAGAAAAGTGTTAGTTTCACTGAAAGTGTGCTTAGCCATGTTTCCTAACCTGGCCCCACATTAAATCATTCAGGGGTCAAAAACAATCGTTAGAGGACTGCTTCTGGGAAGCCTGGGCATGCCTTTGTTCATCATCAACTCATTTAAAAGTATGTTGGAATTCTTGTAAATTTCATACTCAAGTTTTTTTTTTTTTTTTGGGGACCCATAGCCCCTATGCTGTTATAAGCATTGACTATTACTGAAGAACAGATTTTCTTGCTGGACTGTAGCAATCAACACGTGTTGAGCGTGTTCTTGGCTTTATTCTTGCCATATGGGGTATATTGTTTTACACTCGCCTTCTAAGTACAATGACCGAGCAATTTAGGGTAAGTCCCAAAGCAGTAAGCATTCAATAAGAATTTTTTTCTGCGGTCTTTAATTATCAGTCTTTAGAACAGAATAATATGCAAAGACTCAGAGAGGGGGCCCAAATGCAAGTTTTGGAGACTGATCATATCATCATTTGTGGTATGAATAGTCATCTGCCTTTCATATTAAAGCAGCTAAACAAGTATCATGAATTTGCAGTCCGCTTAGGCACTGCTACAGCTAGGTAAGTAGTTCACATAAATTTATTGCACTAACGAGTGTTCAAAATGCTGGCTTTGTAATACTCTGATTGATTCCTATTCAGGAGGCAGAGAATCCTTCTTATGTCTGATCATCCTAGAAAACAGATTGACAAAGTAGCTGAACAAATGGTGAAAGATTTATATCATGTTGACGTCCTTACAAAGAGGTATGAATGCTAGGATAGTTTCCTATATCATGTTTAACAAGGAAACATTCATGACAATATCCCTTTCCTTTTAATGGGGTAAAATGTAATATGCATGCTTCTTGTCTTGCATTGTTTTTTTTTTTTCACCCTGCATTTTATTTTTGAGCGTAACGGCCCTTTTATTTCCTTTAGTTTGCACATTAGAACTGTTGAGTCTCTCTAATTTCAACTATCAGTCAGAGCATAAATAAAACAATCAAGACATTTACTCCATTAATTTTCATTAACAGTATGATTCTGCATTTTGCAAGAGTCACTGATTTTTCTGTTGGTTAGTTGTTTTAATGTACTACATGAAAAATCCTGGTAAAAAGAAACTGGAAAGAGAACCATGATTTTCAATTCAAGGTCTATTATTGCTCTTACATAAATTTTATGGCTCTGCAGTTGCAGCCTTAGTTTGACGAAATCATTTGAAAGAGCAGCAGCCAACAAGGCTCGTGCAATAATTATACTGCCAACAAAAGGGGATAGGTAATAGTTGATTTGCTTAAAATGCAAATTGATAAGGTGGTTCCTGGACAATTTCAATTCAATTTACCTTGCCTCCTTTTATAAATCCATCCTAGTGCGTTAAGGAGGTATAACAGTTATTCATGAAAAGGCATTGAAAGCATCTACTATGTTAATTGCAGTTACTAATTATTTTAGGCGCAGCAGTAAGATTTTGATTTATTAATATCTATTATAGGTGTTATGGAGGTTTTAGTTAGAATTTATTTTGATAATATAATTGACAGATACTGCTTGTGGTTTCTTCTTTTCTTTTCAATAGAAGACCATATTAAGGAAATAATTAAGAACAGTAGGATCCAGGAGTCCTCTTAAAGAAAGCAAAAGCCAGAAAAAGGAACTAGAGTAATGATGAGAAACATCAACTCAATGTAGTTTGCCTATCTGTTTGAATATGTGATAAAACACCTACTAAAATACCCTTGGGAGGAACAAATCTCATATTGAAATTCTCATGCCATGCTTAAATAAAGCAAAAACAGAAGAAAAACCTCAATTACACCACACCTTGCACTCCTTACTTCCAAAAAATTTAGACAAATTTTAGAAGCATGTGCCCAAGTTGGGTGGCCAAAGTTGTTCATTGAAAGTGCCAAACAAGTTATCCCATTTCTGTTATGTTAACTTTCATATGGGCTTGTACTTAAGCTTGTCCAGCTTGCCAAAATAGCTTAAGCTACTAGGTTAGGTTGCCACGAATGTATACACCCTTTCTTTTTCTTATCACTTTTAGATGTGGGACTTGTATTCCCCAATCCTCCTTTTTAAATATAACTGGACTTGGCATACTTTTTTTTGGTCTGGTTATCATTTGCGTCCAATGATAATTGTTTGGGCTTGTGTTTTTGAGTCTTAGGGCCTCAAGTCTTTCATTTTTTTCTTCGTTGCTTGGGCTTGTACTCTTTGAACCTGATGCCTCAGATCCTATAATCTTTTTTGTGTCCCTGATCTTGTGGCTGTTAGGCTTTTCTTTACTTTTATTTTTTGTATTTTTGGTGCTCTGATGACAATGGTGTCATCTAATCTATGTAGCCAGCCCCACTTAGTGGGATAAAACTTCTTGTTGTTGTTGTTGTTGTTGTTGTTATTGTTGTTGTTGTTTTTTGTATTTTTGGTGCTCTGATGCCATGACAAAGGAGATGAAGGAGGTTGTCTGTAATGATTTCATAGAGAGCTCACATGAGGTATTTATATTTATACAAAAGAGAAAATAAATTGCAGGCGACAAATTGCTAAATTAAGGGATTGGATCCTTGATCCTGTGGCTATTTCCTTGGGCCAGCTAACAATTACATAATCAACTAATTATTATATAATCAACAAATAGTCAATTAATAATCCAATATCTGCAACATCTAACATGTTGAGCAACTCCACAATGGATATATGGCTCATTACATTTCAATTTTTTGTTGCTTTTGACGAAAATATGGGGTAGAAGACCTTACCAGGTCTATGCATTTGTATCAAATTGTAAAACAGTTCGAACATCACAATATCATATTCCAATAAACAATACTAATTTTAGAAGGAGCTTTTACTTTCTATAAAAGCTCTAAGAGCTGAGTCATGAGGAAGAGTTAAAAGGTTCCCCCAAAAAAAAAAAAAAAAAAAATCATTTACAACCAGAGGACCAAAATTCCCAACAAATAAAACAAGTTTGAAGTCTGACAATTGTTCAGATTCTGAAATAAATCAAGTGGGAATCTTGATCTGAAGAGAATTAAGATACAGTAGAAGGCACACACGGGAAAAGTTAGGAAGGAGGTCCATGAAAGAGGAATTCCTTTACTGGACATCCTCCCAAGAACAAAAGCCGGGTCCATATCTATTCATGCATGAAGCATAGGGAAAAATTACTTTAAACATGATCTTCAAAGGACTTGTAAGAGTCATGAATGCAAGGACCTGACTTGAATCTGTAAGAAAACAATTCAGAATGAACAGTTTTTAAAATCAAAGGACTACTGCTAAAATCCCTTGTATCAGCTAGGAGTGGCTTATTTTCTAAACTTTACCCAGTGACTGGCATCAGAATGATCACATTGCAGATCGGGTTATTTTAGCGAAGTAATTACTTCTATGTTTATCGTTTATCGTCAATATTCTTAATTTCACTTTAATGAAGTTTATTGATTTCAGATCCTTAATATCTTAGGTATGAAGTTGACACCGATGCTTTTCTATCTGTTTTAGCCCTTCAACCAATTCTGAAAATGGATTCTGTCCCCACCATAGTCGAAGTATGTTGCATACATTCAGCTTGAAATAAAATGAAGAATATAAAATTCAAACGCTGTGCACATAAGTAAGAATTTGTCTTATTAATGAATGCAGGTTTCAAGTTCCAAGACATGTGAGCTCTTAAAATCTATCTCAGGATTGAAAGTAGAGCCGATAGAAAATGTTGCATCCAAATTATTTGTTCAATGCTCTCGGCAGAAGGGGCTTATAAAGATCTACAGACACTTGCTAAATTACCGAAGTATTGCATACTTTCTGCATATCATATTTGTCAGCATTCCTTCTTTGACCTAGTACTTCAACTTTTCTGTTGTCGTGTTCTATATAAGGTTTATTCTCTACCTAAATTGAGATTAATACTCAAAGAGGATCAAATAGCCTTCTGATAATGTGGACTGTAGCTTCAAAATCACTCAATTGTTGTAGTAATTTTTTTTTTTAATGTAAATTCTCAGAATGAAGTTTCCTTTCCAGTTAACATTCGGCTTTAATTATGTTATGGATTTGTTATGGTTAGGGTAAGTGAGGTAAATGAAACATTTCCCTGACCCTAGATTTGGAAACTGGCTTGTTATTTTCATTATTAACCTAACATACAAATTTTATATGTGTCTGAAATTTAACTTCTATATTACTTTTGCTTTTTTCAGAAAATGTATTTAATCTTTGCAGCTTACCTAACCTAGAAGGAATGACCTATAGGAAAGTAAGACATGCATTTCAAGAGGTAATTAATGTAATTTGTTGGCTGAGAAGTCCACCATTTATTGCTTACATAAATTTGCTTACATAAATTATCTCTGTTCATATCATTTCAGGCAGTTGTCTGCGGTCTTTATCGGAATGGAATGATAAACTTCCATCCAAATGACAATGAAATCCTTCAGCAAAATGATAAAGTTTGTAGACTAGTTCATAACTATATCTAATTTATATTCCATTTGGATTTGAAGTTTCTCTGGAAATTTTCAGTTATTACTTCGGTATGAAAAAGATATGCTCTTAACTTTTTCTGTTTCTTTTAGGTTTTGAAATCAATTAATTTTGGAAGGTTTGCTAGAATACTCTCTGATGTCACTTAGCCTCCCTCATTTAGGTATTAATGATTGGATCCCTTCGTGATATAAAGAAGGCACATGCATACCCACGCAAGAAAGAAGGAATTCATGACCAAGGAATTCAAGAACAAGATGTTGAACACGCCATAGAATTGAGTAAAAAGAGACTAGCTAATATTGTAAAGCGTCCTAAAAGATCAGGTTCCAAGGTAGGACAACTACATTGGCAAAATGTTCTAATTAACGCTGAATGCCATTTGTTCAAGATCTATGCATTTATTACTGATCATCATGTAGGCATCAGATGGAAATCTGGGACCGAGAGAGTGCATTCTTTTGCTTGGGTGGCGCCCTGATGTTGTAGAAATGATTGAAGAGTATGATAACTATCTTGGTCCAGGAAGTGTTGTGGTATGATCTTATATATATGATGAACTGATTACTTCCATTGGTGTTCACTTCGCGTGTTGCATGATTTTGTGATTTAAAACCCTATGCAATCTTCAATGCCAGTATTGAAGCTTGAAGTTTCATAATTACAGTTTATTTAATATAACTTCTATATGAACTTATGGCTGACAGGCACAGAAGCTTTAGTTCCCGATTGCTAGTACAAAATATGCTTTATACTACTAACTAATGTACCAGCCAAAAAAGTTCGAGGAAAAACTGATGATTGACTATTCACACATCTTGAAAAATTGACAATCAAGTGGCTTTTAATTTTGTTGCTACTGCCATCATGGTTTCATCTATTATTATTAATCCAAATGTCTATAATGCTTTTTGACTCTGTCAATGAATTGAAACTGCCAGGGTAAGGAACCGAGATTTTATATATATATATATATATATATATAAGCATTAACCTAAAATGCACTCTCTTGATGGTCTGAAAGAATACTAAATGAGACCCCCCTTCCAATAAAATTTATTTCAATGGGAATGGTTGAGGGTTTTTGATAGTGCAAGTCAACCCTGACTTCTACTTTATGGATTGTCTATGCACTAGTTCTAAGCTCAAAAATCTTAAACAATATGCAGGAAATTTTATCAGATGAACCAATAGATGACAGGATCAGGGCCAGCATCCTTACTGGTCAAAGTAATCTCAAGAATGTTCGAATTTCTCACAGGGTATTCAGTCATTGTTGTATTTGAATTTTCCTTTCGTGATTTTTCTTGTTCTATGATTATTTACTTCATTCATATCCTGTAGATTGGAAATCCTCTGGATTATGACTCGTTAAAGCAGACCCTTCTGAATATCCAGAAATCTCTTGGTAATGAAGATATTCCTTTGTCAGTTGCTGTCATATCTGACAGAAGATGGCTTCTTGGAGGTAATGATGCATGGCAGTTTTTGTGGCAGATAATAGCCTGCTATTGAATATTGGCTTTTCTCTTTGCAGATCCATCTAAAGCAGACAAGAATTCTGCCTATTCTCTCCTATTAGCGGATAATATCTGCAAAAGACTAGGAGTTAAGGTGATATATTACATCATCGGACAAAACTAAAAACTGAATTATATCAATGTCTATACCTTTTACATGGAAACATTCTTTATCTAATACTCCCTCTGGTCCAAATTATAAGCAGTTTTTGGGAAAAATTTTCATGCCAATAAAGTCTCCATTCCTATAAAAATATATATTGCTTTCTCTTTTTACACCTAGTCCCATTACCAATGCATTTTATGATGAGTGAGAGATACATTTACACAAATATCTAGGTTAATAAATACAAGGGGTAAAATGGAGATTTTATTTTTACATGTACTAGGTTGCTTATATTTTAAACCAAGAAACTGAGGAGAAATGCTTGTATTTTGGACCGGAGGGAGTATTAGTTAGTAGTATAATGAGCTCGGAAGGAATAACTTGGCTCTTTTAATTGCTATTTTGCAGGTACATAATCTAGTTGCAGAGATCGTTGATTCGACATTGGGTAAACAAGTAATACTCTAAATTGCGTAGTTTGGTCAAATTTTAAGAATTTAGATTGGATTGTTTTAAGTTGATGGTGCTTCTGTATAAAATGCTGCAGATTGCTAGAATCAACCCATCACTGACCTACATTGCAGCAGAGGAATTAATGAGCCTTGTGACAGCTCAAGGTCATAACCTTTGTTCTCTTCTTGTCCATGCTCCACTTTATGTGGTCTATTTGCTAAGTCAGTGTGCTCAGAAAGTTATTGTCTTTACTTGTTTGTAAGGCAGTAGCGGAGAACAGCGAACTTAATGAAGTTTGGAAAGACATACTAAATGCAGAGGGTGATGAAATATATGTGAAGGTAATATAATATACTCCTTTTGCAATACCATACATTACAGAATTTATCCCTAGTTAATAGCCATGAACCATGATGACTGCTGAACCAGTCAGTCCTGGTGCTCTTTGTCCTTTAAATATTTCTTTTTATGCAAATTTTATTTGGTCCGTCCCGTTTCATGGAGAAATTCCTTCCTTCATCCCTATTCCTTTAAATTAGTCCAAGTTACCGCCATTTTTTTAACCTTGTCTTCCTACCACAATACATTTACAAGATTATGCTCCTTTCGTTCAGTATCACTACAAGACACTTATTCTGAAGTATCATATTAAAAAATATAGGACACTTTAGATCTTTTATGGTGTAATTTAATATGGTTTTTTTCAAAAATGCCTTTCGTGAGGGGTGTAATTAATAATTTTTTTAATTGAGACAACCTATTAAATAAGAGTAAACATGAAAAGAATATGTAATTTTAAATATCATTAACTAACTTTTTGGAAGGTGCAAATTAGTTAAAAGTACCTTATAATTTTGAAAGGAGGGAGTATTTTGTTGAAACTAGATGGGTCACCTATCAGAACCCAGAAAAATTTATTAAAGGAGGAAAAGTTATACTAAATAAAAATATTAATATTTTTGAAGAAAATATAATTCTAAATATTAATTAAAATAACATATGGAGAATTTCATTAAAGACCCTTGGATGTGACTTAATTTCATTTGAGGCCCAAAAAATTCTGAAATTTTACTAGAGGCTCAGAGGATTGAAATGATATAAATTCTCTTGATTAAATGATCAAAATGCCCCTAAATTATAATTAACGTTGTTGGATGTGACATAATGTTATTTGACTCCTATATACATTGTACAGAATTTAAAGAATGAACCATATTATTTATGATTTGTATCCTGTGCAACTTGCTATAAATCTTATGTTGTATATTGATATTAGTTTTTAATTCAAACATGACATTTAATCTGTATTATGCACTTTAACTGTTACTTGCCATTGTTTCATATGACAGAATATCGGCCTTTACATGAAAGAAGGAGAGAATCCATCATTTTGGGAGCTCTCTGAGAGAGCATATTTGCGGAGAGAAGTAGCCATAGGTTATGTGAAAAATAACAGGAAGGTATGCTGTTAAAATAGGATAAAATGTACTTACCCTTTGATGGAGACTGGATAGTATGGGATACCAATTTCTATATTGAGTAGTATAAGATGTTCAATGGGATATTTAAGTGGGTTGATTCTCCTACCTCTAGCTAGCTAACTTTTGAGGTAGGGTTTTTCATTCCACTTAGGTACTCATCCCCTTCTAGGAAAAAAATTACCTTGGGTCATTCATAAGAACATGTTAAATATTATTTTCATCTTTGCAGGTTATTAACCCAGTTCCAAAGTCAGAACCCCTCTCCTTTGAATTGACAGACTCACTAATAGTCATTTCTGAGCTTGAAGGAGAACAGCCTGTGGTTTTGTAGTGCTAAAGCTTCAGCATAATCTTATCTTCATGCTGCTTCATCGTTGTTGCAGGAGTATTATTGTTTCCACCAAATTGTATTAACCCTAGCTGAGGTTATCTTAGGAATCTCACAGTTGATCAAGCCATAGAAGAATAAGGTGTGAAATCAATTATCGTAGCCTAGGAGCATTCAAAGTCTTGAGATTATGGAGTAGTTCAATAAATGGTCACATTATAGATCATTGAAGTTATTCTGGCTAGGGAAGTATTGTATATTTTCCTGTGACAAAATAGGGGCTTAATAAGTTGTATTTTTTTTTTTTAATCAGTTGTCTAATGCAGAGATTTTGCTATCAGACAATGTTATATTCACAGTTTTGAAGTACATTTGAAATCTCCTCTTTAATAATTTGGTGCATAAGTTATTGCCTTAAACTATTTTTACTTTATTACTCACTTGAAGGTCAAGTCTTTAATGGAATGTGTGAATCTGCCATCGTGTGGTTGAGGCTGATGTTAGCCGGAATTAATAATCAGCCATGAGTAAGCTTCGGCTAGATTTTATGTAATTGAATTAGATGCCCATCAAAAGATAATGGACAGAGATTTCGCCAAAGAAAAATGATATTTTGTTTTTGTTTTTTTGTTTTTTTTTTTTTTTTGTTTTTTTTTGGGGGAGGGTGGGGGGAGGCTGATAAAAATCAAGAAATAACCACAACAGCAAAAGTGGGTTATCACAAGGCTACGCCCTTTTTCCTTCGATATTTTTCAAATTAGGAGTGAATTTCATATATGTACACAAAATCTAAGATAAATTGATAAAAAATTTAAATAATATGACCAGTATGACTATCCAATCTATATATATTTGGCATAGATATTAAATTTATTTCTTTTTACTGACATTGATTGATGATATGATCACATCATTCTTAAGGTGCCTCTGAGCAAATTTATAATGCATTCTTTTTGATAAAATTTATTAAAGATATTTTACAATTGTATGTTTTTATAAATTTTTTAAAAATACCCTTCAATGAAGAGAGATAAGGAAGAAAATTTATTTAAGGAGCAAAATAATTAGGGGTAATGTTGGAATAATTATAATTAATATTTACACTTTATTTTTCAAAAAAAAAATTGAAAATATGGTTGTAATTACCATATTCTTTTAGGACTTAAATATCATTCTCATATTAAAAAAGTACAAATGCAGAATAACCATTTTGAAATAAGGGTGTTAATAGGCTAGACTTGTACCAATTGCACTACCCTTGGTATAATCCAAAGAGAATTTAGTGAATCCCCTTTTTTCTTTTCTGTTTTCTATTTTCGAAAATCTTTTTCCCCCTTTAGCAGGAAAGAGCAATCCACAGGACTTCGCTATCCAAATCAACAGCCTTGTTTGCAGACCTGCAGGCCACCTTAAGCAAGAGACAAAGAAGGAACTATTGAACAACTGACTCCATAAACTGTCATCTAGTGTAAGTTTAACAGTATTGCATTTAGTTAGATGAATAGTTTATGATTCATGAATAATGTTGCTTGTTAAAATTTTCATATCAAATGGAATACCAATAAAAAAAATCATAGCAAATATAGTTAGACATAAAGAGTCACCATCTGAATTTTTTTTTTTTAATGAAGACAGATCCTTAATCAAAGCAATTACAAGCTAGTTAAGTCTGTCAGACAATTTTCTTTCATCATCCACCACCTTAATACAGTAAGATAGAGGTTGATCAAAAGTAGTATAACATACAAAATCATTCTGAGCATGGGTGGCCAACAGATGAGCATAACTGTTGGCCTTCCTAAACAAGAAATTTAAATGAATGTTCCAATCTCAATGGAAATAAATTCTAGCCTAGTTGATAAATTCTCTAAATGATTGATGAGTAATATCACTTCTAGTAATCAGGTTGATCCCCCCAACACAATCCGCATAGACTTGTACAATGCGAAAGTTCCTTTCCCAACATATCTAAAGACCATAAATAATACTAATCACTTCAGTAATAGCAGGGGGTAATTGCCTATATTATGTTAAAGCCACATACCCAATCAGCATTATGATCTCTTACAACAGCCCCACACTTACCAACTCCATCCTTATATGACCCATCAACATCAAGTCTCACTTCATTGCAAAGTGGTCTTATCCAAACATCATAAAGGCGATTAGAATGTCTTTGCACCGTGGAGGATGTCCTGAGGATATGGAGGTCGAGTCACCATCTGATTTCAAATACACAATCTGCAGCCCACTCCTTTCATAGCAACAGCTTCAAGCATGAAGGTAGAGAGTAGTACAAAGTGGACAACCCCATCTATCACTTCCCCTTGGGTAATCCTTCTTAAAAACCCCAACCCAGACCCCCTATTATCAATATCATCATCATCAATATAAAAATATAAAAATATAAAAATATAAAAATTCTAACAAATCACACTTATACGCCATAGATAATGCAATCTTGAACTTATCAAAGAAACCTCCTTGTATTTTATATTGCTCTTGCAATGGAGCCACCTGACTCATTAAACTATCATTCTCATTGTTCTAACCTTGCCAAGTTGCAAAGATGCTCCAAGCTTTCCTTCTAGTAAACCCTAAATGCATCATCAGCCACTTGATTAGTTTCGTGCGGTTCAACTTGTAAGTAGTGAAATACAACCTGGATCTGCCGGCAGGTAACAGCAACCATAGCCAATTTCAAACTCAACCATCTATATCTTTCAAGCCTTGAAAACACTTGAACAAGCCAGCTTTTACAATGAATCGTCATCTAAATCAGAGATGGTGTGTAAAATCCCATACAGTAACATGTATTCTACAGTTCAACCCCTTCTAAGCAAATATGACAAACTTCGGAAGGAGCGAGTTTTCTTCAAAACATTCTCTATGACTGACAAAGAAGCAAGCCAAGCTCTCCATAAAAAAAAAGCTTCACAGTACTAGGTGCCTTGACAACCTAGAATGCAACCCAATAATGTCAAAGAGGATAGAAATTGAAATTAACTATCATTAGGGTTTCTTTTTCCTTTTTCTTTTTTAACATTCAAACCTCTTGCCAGCTGGTGTTGGGACTGGACAATATAGAACCCATCCCTAGTACGATCCCAGAAAATTCTATCTCATACACCACTCATATGAAAAAAATAATCTCCTTATCAACCATCTTGATCTCTTCCATTAGCCACCAACAAATCAGACACTTCTGGTAGCAAACCCAGTGTTGGTAGCAGCAGATTGCAGCTTGAAATTAGGTAGCCAGGCATGGAAGGATCCAGCAAAAAGATATCACAACCACTTCACATTCCCCAACACAGCCCTTTATTAAATACCTTCATTCATGCAAGCCACCTAAGCCATGCACTCACTTCATTGTTCTATCCAAGGCTATTTAGGTTGAACACCATCATCCACACTTGTTGGGCTGCTTAGCCAAATAACTTATTCCTGCTGATATCAATCTTTCATTACCTGAAGTCTAGAAACCTTATGATAAATGAAGATAGGAATGGATGTTTCCATTTGCCAAAGAAAAACAGATCACAATCTAACATAACTGTCTTCAAGAAAATTTGATTAGCTTTTTGTCATTTCATCTTCTCACCTTGACTCTACAATTTACACAATAACACAGATGCAAAGCGCATATAGAATTTTCTTATCATCTACATACACCATCACTTACCTTTCTTTCAGTTCATTAAAAAACAAAATCCAAAGTTTACAATGGTAGATAAAACTATCTTGTAGACCCCACATCATCTGTGCTACAAGGCACCAGCAAAAGTACATATTCATAGGCCTTTCTTCTAGCATTAAGCAGTCGTCATTCTCCATAAACTGGTCTTTTCCAAAAGCATAAGATACACCCCTATAGAAACCATTAGCCAAAACCCACGGAGGATACAAAAAAATTTTGCGGTAGAAGAAACCTCTGGTTAAGAACTCTTGCGCTCTGTTTTGACCAGATACCACACAAACCAGAAAGAGAAACATCAACCTAAACTGTCTTTGAATAGAAGCCAACAAATCACCTCTGACAGAAATAACAGTGTCTAGTTTTGGATTAGTAACAGCAGTTAATTACTTTAAGATCCACAATCAAGATTTTTAATTTAGATATAACCTCTCAAGCATGTATAAACTTGTTAGAAGGAATTAAATACACTGTCCCAATATTGGATATCAATTAGCACGGAGAATCTTATTGAACAAAACCATCGACTAACCTGAGGAAACAAGATATATTTTTCATTGATCAGTGACCAAAACAAATCAATACTCTAATAAAGAAAAATTAAAACAAAGGCTACATTACAGAAGCAAAACTGAGATTATTCCATTACAACAGAAGCACCCACCCCTTTGAGCTTCTCAATGATAGAATCAGCCTCCTCCTTTGTCACTCCTTTCTTTAAAACACATGGAACTTTCTCCACCAAATCCTTAGCTTCCTTCAATCCCAAATCAGTAAAACTTCTTACCTCCTTGATAATCTTGATCTTCGCCGCAGCATCATACTTCTCCAACTTTATATCAAACGCTGTCTTCTCCGCCGCCGCCGCCTTTACATCCGCCGAGCCAGACCCAGCTCCGGCTGAAGCAGAACCCGATGAACCGAACCCCGTGACCGCGGGCCCATACTTGTTGAGACCCATTTTGAGCCTCCAAAGAATCGTAAAGTCGTACCTTTCCAACTTGTTGAGGTCAAGAAGCTCATCGGCGATTCGTTCGAGCTTCTGGGTTCGACTCTCTTGGGTGGATGTGCAGAGAGAACGACGAAGCGGATTGAGGTGGAACAGCCTTAGTAGTGATCTGGAAGTGGATTTTGAGATGAGATGAGACATTTTTCTCAGAAGAAGAGAACGAAGGCTTGAGTTGCTGGAATCAATCGCATTCGTCTCCTTGGGACGATAGCGCAGAAACAGAAGCAAGAATCCACGGTCAGTGACTCGGGATTCCTTGATTTTTTTTTTTTTAAATGTCAACCAAAAACGAAGAAGTTTTGAACTTGCACTAATAAAGTGACCAAAAAAGAAAACAGCAACATAGCATATGATTAAAACTGGAAATACGGGTGAGCCCGACTTTTAAAGACCTGAGTCCTAAAGTTTGATTTTTTATTTTGAATCCCATTTTTTAAGCTCGACCTTTATGTGAAGGGTTTAGAGCCGAACCCGTAAGCTCTTTTTTAAAAAATAAAAATAATAAAAATAAAATTAAACATTATAAATTAATTAAAATATTCTAAAATTAAAAAATAAAATTCTCATAATTTTTTAAAAATTAAACAACACACATTTAGAAGTCTAGTAATAAAATTTAAATCTTAGTTAAAAAATAATTTATTTTTTATAAATACACAAACATAATAATTATAGAAAAATAAAAAATATCAAGAATTTTATACTATACACTGATATTTATTAAATTATATTAAATTAATTTTAAAATAAATTAAAATTAATAATAATATAATATGTGTAGGATCAGGTGAGCAAGTCATTGACTTTAAACATGTGTTCCGCCAAAGAAAATAATAACAATAATAATAATATAACAGGGCTTGAATGGCTACTCGAGCCCGAGCCCTTTTTTACAGGGCTTATCAGGGCCAAGCTTTCAAACCCGATTACTTTAAAAAAAATTTATTTTCGAAGCCCGAATCCTTATTTAAACAGGGCCTCCAAGCCCGGTCCTCCAGGCCCGACTCTTATTCTCGGCTCTACATATGATAGGATGATTGAAAAATTGAATCGAACTAAAGGGTTGGATTTGACTGATCTAGATTTTGACCCGATTAGCGTGAAAAAACTGTTTAGTGAGTTGAGTCAATTTGGACTACTTTAAATCGACAGTGAAATCAAGGATTGAGATTAAGTCAATAATCGAATTCTAGAACTGTTCAAAAATATTATTTTCTTTTTTTAATTTTTTATCAATTTTTTGTTAGAAAATGATTAATTTTTTTAATCATTTAATATTATATTGCATCATGTAACTTGTTAAGTCATGATAAATTTAAAATATTTAATTTTATTTTTAAATCAAGTAATAATTTCATATTCATTTCTTATATTTATATTATTATATACATATACAATTTTTTTACTTTAATTATTACATCATCATTTTAACCATTGATCCAATCTAGTTGGACCATGTAAACTATGAATCGTTAGCCTTTTTGATTTAATATTCGATCAGATTTTGAAAATATTGATATGATACAATTATAGGGAAATTTGTGGAAAACTATTATGGAGAAAAATAGCAAATTTTATAAAAAAAAAATTGAAGACACTAAAATACCAACAAATTCCAAACTGTCGTGAGAATTATTGGTCGATTTCATTGCACCCTTGGAATACTATCTTTTCCCCTTTCTATTATGGCCTTTTTGGTTAAGCTTGTTTATTGATGGTAAACTGTATTGCACACGCAATGGTTATTGCGCATTTTATGGCAAATGGCAATGGGTATTCCTAGGAGAACCTATAAATGATGATTGCACTCTTATACAATCACAATTTTGTCCACAATAACTCATGTGAAAAGACAAGACTTGCCCTCAAGAAAATTTTATTGTCCTCTTCATGAAGCCCTCACGCCATATTTTCATAAAATTGTAACGCGCACGTGGGTTCGTGGACGGAGAGTCTTATAATATCCCAAATTCCAGGCCTAAGAGCTCTAAAAATATGGCAGAATTTAGTGAACTACTGCGTCCAGTTAATTTAAAATTTCTGAAGTGCTTGAAAAGGTTGAATGTCTCTCAAGAACCAAATCATAATTTAAAATCTTTCTAGCAAAAGTATAATATTTTCATAAACTTTAAAAAAGTATTCAAAATTGAGAAATGAGTAAATTAAAATCTAAAAATATCCAAGATAGGATAAAAGGAATAAATAAGGCTTAAGAGAGTAACAAAGGTATCTAAGATCAGTTTTGAAAAATAATCAACAAAGTTGGTAGATTCAATAGAGATAAATTATTTGACAACTTTATTCTTATATCCTAAATTTCCTAAAGAAGGATTGCAATTAGATCCTAAGGATCATAGTAGATCCGAAAAGGGTTTAATGAAATTGCAGATAGATCTCAAGATCATAATTACATCTCATGGTTATAGCAAACCTAGTTGAAAGTTATTAAGTCAAAGCATATGATACAATTCTTTAAGAAGAGAATGGTCCAAGATAAGTTTAGAATACATAGAACTCTTAAATTAGTCTAACTGTAACATCCTGAATTTCAAAACTAGAAATTCTATGTGTTTAGAAGGGTATAATGATAAAATTAAGTAGACTTTTAATTAATGATGTTTTTAGGAAAATAATGTAATTAATAAATCATTAGACAGCCTTAAAAAAGGGCTAAGTTAGAGTTTAAGTAGGCTATGGCAATGAGAGAGATTCAAAAAGTGTATGGAGCTCTCTGTGCCATGCGCTGTAGTACATGTGCAAAAATTTGCACCTATCAATTGCGAATCAGAATGAAAATTAGATGAGGAAAAGATAGAATGCGAGAAGGTGACAGGAAACGACCAGTGATTGTTAGGGCACGACCTCTACACCAATTTAGAAGCATTTAGGGCAAGATTTATCTTTAGATAAGCTTCCTATACCTCTCCCTCTTCCTATATTCAAATTTTTCTAATGGTTAGGGTATTTTGGGACTTGTTTTCGGTTGTTCTTAGGTAATGACTGAATCCATGGCCTTAGATAAGTCTTGGAAAGTTAAATCAAGCCTCTAAACCTAGATTTTTGGATTATGTAATGATTTAGAGTTTTTGGGGAGAATTTGGACAAACCTTAAGTACGAATTGGGACACTACGAGCAATATGGATAATGTAATGGTGTTGTTTATATGTTTGGATGTTAAATAAAATTAATGGAGTGTATTGGGAGAATTTTTAGGGCTAAATTAAGGTTTTGGGTATAATAGGTATCCAAATTTGTGTTATAAATGAGGTATTTAATGTGTGGATTAATGAATTAGAAGTTTAATCTTATAGATTAACCTTTGATCAAGCATTGAGGTACTAGTGGACATTTGTGAAACCTTTGTTCGACCATGGTAAACCTTTTTGTGACAAAAAGAATTGAGGTAATTGAATTGTCTGAATTTCCTATTTGTGTGTTTAGATGGTTGTGTAATTATTTTTAAAAATAATATTCTTATTTTGGACTAGAATAATATTAATATGAAATGTTTATGATTGAGAAACTATGTAAAGTGGAATGTCAACTTATGTTTTAGTGTAGTAGTTTTTGAAAAGCTAAACACTATTTTAAGTATAATTACTTGCGAAATCTTATGATTTTAGTAGAAATGAACCCTTTAATAGAAATTATCTGTTATGGCTATGTATGGAAGTCATTGAGCATGTTTGGTATGATTATTGTGAAAGAGTGAAAGTTCACCCTAGTGTATTGTTGGGAGACATTGTTTGAAAATTTATATGATACATTAGCACATTAAAGGCCCCAGTGCTCAATATTATATTGTTTGAAAGTTCCAGTACTGCATGTGGTAGATTGGGCATCAACGCCCCTAGTATTCGTGGATAGGAGGAGTTTGTGGTCCATAGTGGGTAAAAGCACTTGTGGCTAATGCTGCCTCCTACTAATGGTGAGCTTGGGCCAGTCTAGTCACTTAGACTCGGTCTTATCAAGTTGTCAGCCTATAGACTCAGTTAGAAGATATAAGGAGGGTATAAGATGGTATGGATCATGCATATCATACTATCTCTATATGTGTGGATAAATGACTTAATACATGTTTATAATGCCACTTCACATACGCACTATTTGTTCTCACACATGAGTAGTTTGATTAGATTGTTTGGTTATTGAGTTCTTGACTCACCATGTAGTTACATTTTACAGATAAAGGCTTCAATAAGGGCAAGAAAAAGAAAGGTGTGATTGAGTATTGAGGGGACTAGTGTAACATCCTTAAATTTAAATCAAGATTAATTAAGTCCAAATAGACCAAATAAGTGTATTAGTAAGGTGTGTGGCCAGAGAGGCTTAACTTGATATAATTGTTGTAAATTTAATCCTAGAAGTGGGTCCAGATCGATAGTAGGCCACTCGGGCAAGGAAAGAGGAAGAAAAAGTGAAGATTTACTTTTTGTGCTAGTCTGCCGCGATGCATAGAGGCAAATTTGAATCTAACAGGCTCCTTTATGCCATGCGCCATGGCAGAGGGTAACGTGTGCCGCGGCGCACCGCCAAAATGTTGATATTTTAGCTTCGTATTTGAGTAAGAGAAACAGAGAAAAGGAAGAGAAAAATGAAGAGAACGAAGGAGCAGTGCTAGGGCTTAGGTGAACTGATTATTGGGAGTATTTTGAAGCTCCTAAACACCAAAGGTAAGCTTCTTTACTTAAATTTTCCCCTATTCTTCTATTTTCTTGATGGTAGAGGTTAGGGTTTAATTGATAATGGTGATTTTTGATCTATAGAAGCTATGGGTCCGAACCCATTGACTTAAATTGAGTTAATAGGAATAGATTGAGCTAAGTAAACTTAGTATTAATGGTTTTATGATGATTATTGGTTAGAGGACATTAAATGTCTAAAATTCTCATAAATTTGGTGGTTAGGAATAATGTGGTTTCATTAATAACCATTTAAGAGCTCAATGTTATTAATGAGAGTTAAAAGAAGCTAAGAAGCCTTATGGGTACTCTTGCATGAGTCAAGAACAAATCTTGAGTATTAAGAAATGATGAAGTGTTAGTAGAGAATAGCTCAAAAATGGATATTGATGTTTTGCATGGTAGATGCTTGTAGAGTAACTACCATTAGCACCATTCAAGCTTCTTGGAAGCTTTGAGAGTGAGTAATTAAGAGGTGAAACCTTTAACCTCTCAAAGGTTTAAGGTAACTAGAGGAATTTTATCTTATACTTTTATGTGTTTATTAGTTTATGAATTTATGATTTATCATTGAATTGTGTAAATCAAAAACATATGCA